TCTAAGGTAAGTATTGAGTTCTATTTGTAATGAAATCTGAATACGATGTGATTACTTTTTACCTTTTCCAGGGAGAACAACGATTGGATCTCTGTAAAACAAGGTTTTGTTTGCCATACACCATAAATTTTTGCAATTTAACACAAATTCGGCAGCCGAATGGCCCAATACGAAGCATTCGTCGATCACAGCACGCACCTTATCCACTTGTAAAACTAACCCCTCAGGAAGCACAACAATTAAATGGTACAATTTAATAATTTTTGTAAAACGTTAAATTTTATTCTTTATAAAATTGCAGCCAACATCTATAAAGATTTTACTACGACACGCAATAACACTTTACCCACAACCGCAGCCCAGTTGGCGGATACTAAACAGCTACAGCAGCGCATGACATTGCATAATAATGGCTTGTCCACAACATCCTTTCCTCATGCAAGTCGACAACCGCAACCGTTACCTCCAATGGTAACTGTATCCAGTCAACACATTCCACACGCTCACCACCAGCAACAAATAAACCACCACCATAGCCACCCTCACCTGCAATCATCTTCTTCGCATGCGCAGCCTCAACATCGCAATAAATCACACAAAAAAAACAGCGAAACATCCACCACCAATTTGCGGCATATTCTCAACAATTTGAACATATTCGGAAGTAGCACAAAAAGTAACAGCCAGCATATGAATAACAATAGCAGTATGGCCCAGACTTCAACCTCGAATCATTTAGGCATGCAGTTCTCCCATTCCAAAACCCCACTAACTGCTTCAATGAAAAGTCACCACAGCCGTTGCTCGGATGGTTCCTTACAGTCGCACCGCAGCAGTCGTTTGGGCTCTCACCGGTCTCGTTCACGCACACGTGCATCGGATACAGACACAAACAGCATGAAATCTACACGGCGTCCGAGTGTTGACACAGTTTCCACATATCTCTCGCACGAAAGCAAGGAAAGTTTACGTAGTCGTAATTTCGCCATATCTGTTAACGATCTGCTTGATTGTTCTTTGGGCAGCGATGAAGTATTTGTACCATCGTTGCCACCATCTTCTCTGGGCGAGCGTGCACCAGCACCTCCTCCACTACCACATCATGTGAGCTCTATAAATTTAGCGCCCTCTGTAGGTACCGCTGGTGGTTCTGTTACAGTAGTAGCTACGCTTCACAATACTCATCAACACCAATCTCAGCAACAATTAGCATCATCAACACAACAATCAGCTATTGCTGGCGCGATTGTGGGTGTGGATCCAGCAAGTGATATGATATCTCGATTCGTTAAGGTGGCAGAGCCGCCCTTGTGGCCAAACGCCCAACCGTGTCCCATGTGTATGGAAGAGCTGGTGCAAAGCGCACAGAATCCAACTATTGCCTTAACTCGCTGTCAGCATTTAATGCATTTACAATGCCTCAATGGCATGATTATAGCACAGCAAGGTGAAAGGAGCAAGGTAAATAAACACTCCCAAAACATTAACTGACTTTCTTGTTTGTAAATAACTTTTACAAATACCTAAACTTTATATTTTAATAATAACTTATAAGAAATGAAACCTATTTTTTGACTTTTCAGAATCTCTTCATTGAGTGTCCAGTGTGCGGTATCGTTTATGGTGAAAAAGTTGGTAACCAACCAAATGGCACTATGTCATGGAGCATCATTAGCAAAAGTTTGCCAGGCCATGAGGGTCAGAATACCATACAAATTGTTTACGAGTAGGTCAATCCTCTTTCATGTTCTTTTTTTTCAGTAATTATAAAATGAATTTTCAGCATCGCATCTGGCGTACAAACCGATGAACATCCACATCCAGGTCGAGCTTTCTTCGCTGTTGGATTTCCGCGCGTGTGTTACCTACCCGACTGCCCGCTTGGTCGCAAAGTATTGCGCTTTCTAAAAATTGCCTTCGATAGGCGTCTCTTATTCTCGATTGGCCGTTCGGTTACCACAGGTCGTGAAGACGTCGTAATTTGGAATAGCGTGGATCACAAAACGCAATTCAATATGTTCCCAGACCCAACGTATTTACAACGTTGCATGCAACAATTAGTGCACTTGGGTGTCACCGATTGATGGACGCCAATGATGAATACGAAATTAGATTTAAAATATTTTAGTTAGTGTGCAATTTGAAAGTGTTTCAAAGTAAGTTGCGTTCGAGTAGCTCGAACTTTAAATACCCAAGTGGTTTCCATTTTGTGTCAAATGTAAAGTGCTGAAGGCGTCATGCATGCATAATTTTATAAGCTTTAAAATTGTAGGTTTTAAAAATTTACTAGACTTCCTTGAATGTTCTTCCATATTAGTTTCTAGTTTTAGATAGTATGGATGTATTTAATATCCAAATTTGCTTATGATTTACTATGAAGCAATTTTTAATTATTTCGCTAGGTATTAGTAGCAATTCAAT